ATCCAAAATCCTATGCAATAGCTCAGAGACCAAACAGAATCATACTGGGAGTAAAAAAGATATAATTCAAGTTAGCAGCAGAATACAGTCAAGACAGCTTCTGAAATATGCTCACAGGCACCTCTGCCTTGGGCTTCAAGGCTTGAGGCCAGTGTTACAAAGCTTTCAGTCCTGCCAATTATGGCTCTCCCCAACAGTCCTCCAACAAACTTGGGCAAAGGCTCTGAGCTCTGGTTTCTCTGGCTTAACAGTCCCAAGGTCTGCTCCATCCCACTTCAGGTCTTTGGTTCTCTGCTGCTGCTATGGCTGCTTCTCCCGTAGCCCCTGGTCTGGCAGGCACAAGAATCTCTGGTCCCAAACGATGGAAAGCATTCTCTTGCTTCTTCTTTGCTGGTGGTGACATTCTCAAATTCTGCTGCTGGATCCACTCAATTTTATGGTAGGACTAGCCAATCTCCTTGTAGATAAGCTAATATGGCCTATTCACATATTCTCTTCCATCCACATGAAAAAGTACATCAATGGCTAGGAAGTCATTTTGGACAATAAACCCTTAGCACTAGAGTATGCCAGCACAAAACAGCACCTGGTAAACAGCAGACGTTAACAAGTATTCTGTCTAAAAAATGTTCATGGTGATCTTATCTGTCACAAATAGAGGTATAAATTTGATCTAGTTTTATTTAGTAAAAACTAAAATAATTTTTGACAAGTAAAAATGAAAAATGATGAACATTTCAGCCACTTAAAGGTGAACCCTCCATTATGTTTATTGATGTGAAATATGCCATTTTTAACATACTCAAAGAATATGTACAAATAAAAGAAACAGGTTAGATGAATTCATTCTTCATTAGAAACAACTCTGGACAACTTCCATAAGCCTTCTTGGTCTGTATTCTCTCTGTATAAGGAAGATGTTAGATTAGATTATCTTAACGTCTTCATTTCTGTGATCATATATTGTTGGCTTCCCCTTAACAAGTATACCATAACCAGTAGTACATTTTACAAACTAAGGGGGGAAATGACATTCAAGCTAACTGCCATAACCACTGTATGGGATTAAACTGCAATAAACTGAATAGTACGTACCTCTGACCAATCATGTAACTCCACTTATGTACTTGTTAATCAGCTATCTTGGCCAAATTTTCTCTTCTAGATATCCCACCCTTAACTAACCCTGATGGTCTTTTCTACCAATTAGGTCTTATATAACTTTAAGTTCCCACACAAGAACGCATCCCTCTTCATTGTTTCACGGGCAGCCACTTCACTGTGACTATGGATGTTTTTCAACCATACAACTCTATCCCTCAATAAAATTTCTTTTGTTCTTATTTAAACAGGCTCAGTGATGATGCTCAACATAGTACCACCAATGTAAATACCTTTTAATGATATGAGTAATTTGAAATTTTGCAAACTTTTACTATATTTTAAATTATAAAGTATCTTTATACAATGAGTACCACCTAAAATTCCTAAAATTTAGTCCTCTATAAATGACAAAAAGAAAAGATGTTACCCTTTAAAGAGAATGTTTCAGTTCTTCAAATGAAATTGATTTAAATGGGTGCTAAAACATAGATGTCCCAAAAAATAAATAATTGGGAAAGTTAACATTTAAAAATGAAAAATAAACAAATACTTTTATCTATTTACTGATGCCATTAGTACAAAATCTGAAAAACTGACTTGGGAATGGACATCGAAGTTCAAAAGTCAGTGCTCTTCAGATTAAGGTATTTATTTCCATTACATCAGTATAAACTTACTTTATCTATACACGGTTTTACCCCAATCATGATGGACTCTCCAAAAATCCTCCCATCTTTACTTAAGGCTTTCCGGGCCTGCAGTTTGGACTGATACCGAATATGCATCCAATTTCCTGTGTTAGACATCTACAAAGAATATATAAAATATAAACAAAATAAATTCCATCAGAAAATAATGTATAATAAATCTACTACTAATATTTGGTATTCTATACTAGTTGTTCTAGACTTCAACAAAATACCTATATAAATCATTTCAATAATTTCTCCCAAGCCTTCCATTTTCTAAACTAAAGAACATATTACCAACGTGATTAGATAAAATAATTCTTGGTGTTCTCTGTAAAAATGATAAAAAAAAAAAAGATCAAACCAATACTTGCAGTGACGCTTTTAAAAATTGTATTCATGGCCTAGAGGCAATAAGTTGCAATGCAATTTCAGAGGTGCACGGTTTGAAATCACCAGACACTCTGCTGGAGAAGGAGGGGCAATCTCCTCCTGTACCAGTCAGATTCGATTTGACACAAATAATAAAAGTTTAAAAAAAATTGTATTCATTAGTATAATTTTTGTGTAATAAGAGTTAAGCACATGGATCTCTTCTAGTGATGTTATATGCCATAGAATTGGAACAGACTCTTCACTGACCCTCCAGCAGGATTGCAGAGGCAGTAAATAACATGGGAGATTGCCTATCTTACTCCTACACAATTGCTAGACTGGAACTATCTGCCTTTGATGTGGTAGCACAACTCCTTAACCACTAGGCCAGCAGTAACAAAAAAAAAGGCTTTTTAATTGAAAATTTATTTTGCAAGGTAATTTTATTAAAATAAAATCTTAAGTTAAAAAAAAAAAGCCCAAAGAAGTCAGCTGAGAAACTTCTCCCTTTCCTTTATCCCCAAAGAAATGAGCTTAAACACTAGGTAATCATCTAACTTTAAAAAAAAAAAAAAAGTTTTAAGAAAAAATGAGAAGGTGATATTGAAACTTTGAATATATTCCTTATCTTGTGTTTCTATTCCTATTTAATAAAAAAGTATTCAACCCGCAATCTTTCAGAAACCAAAAAGGTATATTCTACCCAACTTTTAAATGTGACAAAATATGAAATTAGAAGCATTAGTTCTTGGGGAGAAAAGTGCAACAATAAATGAATGGAATTCCAAAATCTCTGTAAATGTTCACTGAAATTAATAATAATGAAAGAATTTTTTTAAAAAAAAAGAAGCATTAGTTCCCTTATTTACAACTCCTTTCTTTAATTCCTAAACTGAATAAAAATTAAGTCTTACCACATGTTTTAAGATATTTCCATATTGAGCAAATTGCAATAATATATAGGAAGCAGATGCTTGAGGAAACCTGAGGTGGAGAGAGAGAGGGAAAAATCCAAACAAAACAATTAACTTCTACCAGAAGCATAAATGCATACTGCTGTACTCAAGTGTTTCAAGATAAATTCCTCACAATCGTCTTAAAACATCATCAACATGTGATCTTTAATCATTCTGAACCAGCTAACTACCACTGCTCAGCTAACTGCTCAAATGCAAATATATGAAAATTAATTTCAATTCAGCTATTCCCTATCCCCAGATTGCATTCCTGAAATTACCAGAGGTTCCACAGTCACTGTCATTTTCATATATAGCCCTTAGAAAAGAACTATGAAGTTTACAGTTGCAGTAGTTGTTTTATAGAATGTATGAGTTTATATTCTTAAATAATTATTAAACCACAGTTATTAAAATAGAACAAAATACTCTACATCATAGTTATATCGTTACACACTCAAAAAAATTCTAATGTTCCCTATAAATGGCCAAAAGAAAGTGTGCAGTCCCTTAGAGAATTCTTCAGTTCTTGCAATGAAACACATGCAAAGAATTAATAAAATATAAAAATACCAAAAAAAAAAAATAACTGTAAAGAAATGAGATTTTAAAATAAAACAAACAAAAAATAGTAGAACTATGTCAATGAAGTTATGTAATTATTACTGGACTCCTAACAGGTGGCATCAATACCAGAGACAGTGAAAAACTTGGGAGTCAGGTGACATCCAAATTTAAATGTATAGTCATTTCGTAAGAAATATAAGTATCAAGAAATCAGAATAACTGTATGGATATAAGGCTGAATATGGCAAACCAAAGAAATGAAATGATCTTCCTTTCTCATAAGTGGAATTAATAAAACAAACTCTTAAAAACAAAAGAGAAAACACATAGCAATCACTGCCTTAGAAAGGACAACTGTAGCTGGGTTCAAAAGTGGAAAATATTTTACCATATATTTCATTATATACCTTTGATATTATTGGAAGCAGCAGCACTGCTATATCAAAGGTGGCACTTTTCTGGAGGTTCAAATCAAATCCACCAGTGGCTCCTTGGAGAAAAAGATGGATAATCTCATCCCAAGCAATTTGCACTCTCCAAAGATCCACTGAAGTTCAATCATAAGGCAGTTCTAGTTCAATAGCAACGAGTTTACGCTGTTGTTATGTGCTGTTGAGTCACTCATAGCTACCCTACATAAAACAGCTCTGAACCCTGCTCTATCCTGTGACAACCTTAATTATCTATGACATACTTGCCATGGGAAAGTCTGCTGTTAGGGACCTCTCCAAAGTGCTGAAGAGCAGTGGTGTCTCTCTGGAGACTAAGGTGCGTCTGATACAGGCCATGGTCTTCGCAATCACCTGTTATGCATCAGAGAGTTGGACAATGACCAAGGAGGATAGAAGGAGAATTGATGTCTTTGAGCTGTGGTGCTGGAGAAGAGTATTGAGAATACCATGGACTGCTAGGAAATCAAACAGATTTGTCCTGGAAAGGGTTAAACCGGGTGGCTCCTTGGAGGCAAGGATTCTGAGGCTCCGTCTAACATACTTTGGACATGCTGTGAGGAGACCAGTCCTTAGAGAGGGACATCATGCTTGGGAGGGTGGAGGGACAGCGCAGGTGAGGAAGGCCCTCTATGAGGTGGATTGATTCAGTGACTGGGATAATTGGGATGGGAGTGTCAGAGACAGTTCAACTGGCACAGGACAGAGCGGAGTTTAGGGCTGTTGTACATAGGGTCGCTATGAGTCGCAGGCAACTCGATGGCACATAACAACAACAAACAACATACCTACCCCTAGTATCCCTAGTCACTGAATCAATCCATCTCATTGAGGGTCTGTCTCTCTTGTGCTGTCTCTCCACCGTTCCAACTATGATTTCTATCTCCAAGGGCTGGGCCACTTCCCAACTCCCCCAATGTCAGACGAAGCCTCAAAATACTTGCCTCCAAGGAGCAGCCTGATTTCACCCTCTCTAGCATGAACCTGTTTGTTCTCCTCGCAGTCAATGGTATATTCAATACTGTTCTTCAGCACTACAGCTCAAAGGCATCAATGTTCCTTCTATCATCCCTAGTCACTGTCCAGCTTTCTAATGCATAGCAGGTAACTGTGAAGACCACAGCCTGGTTCAGGCACACTTTTAGACTCCAGACTGACATCATCGCTCTTCAGACTCTGGAGACGTCCCTGACAGTAGACTTTCTCAATTTAATTCATCTTTTGATTTCCTGGCTGTTGGTACCAAGAATGTTGACTGTGGAGCCAAGCAAACTGAAGCTCTTATCTCAAGCTCTTCATCTATCATGATGCTGCCAATTGGCCCAGTGGTGAGAATCTTTGTTTTCTTGATGTTGAGCTTCAATCCATATGGAAGACTATAGTATTTGATCTTCTGCAGCAAATGCTTCAAGTCCTCTTCAGTTTCAGCAAGCAAGGTTGCGTTATATGCATTAACAAAGGTGGTCCATGAGTCTTCCTCCAATCTTGATGCCACATTCCTCCTCACAGAGCCCAACCTCCTGGATGATCTGTTGAGTTTAAGTTATTAAATTTAAAATCAAATAGGTTTGATGTGTTAATCATGTTCTGCTAAATTTTGGGTACTTTATATACATTCTTCTCACTTCATAGATCTAGTGGGATTTTTTTTTGTTTTTACACAAAAAAACATCTAGTCAGGACCAGTATCCATATGAATCAGAGACTGTAAATCACACAGGAGGAGACTGCCAATTTTTCTCCTTAACAGAGCTCGTGGATCTGGCTGCCTTTGGGTCAGCAGTGCAAATCATTGTCCACGGACTACCAAAGTTTCCTAGTATGATACCTAGAGGATATATTTCCTTGGACCTAAAATTCTTTTCAACATGCACTTAAGACTATCATCACTAATTTTCATTAATAGGGTGTGACTAGAAAACACCAACACTTTGATACAGTACATGTAACAAATGAAGTTTAACTTCATTTAAAACTGGGTACCTTCATTTCACTAGAAGCAAAGAAATAACCATTGTTGTTATGTGCCGTCAAGTAGCTTGCCACTCATAGTGAACCTATGTACAACAGCCCTAAACTCTGCTCTGTCCTGTGCCAATCTCACTGCCTCTGACACACCCATCCCAATTACCCTAGTCTCTGAATCAATCCACCTAAATGAGGGTTTCCCCTCCTGCACCTGCCCTCCACCCTCCCAAGAATGATGTCCCTCTCCAAGGACCGGTCTCTCCTTACAACATGGCCAAAGTATGGCTAAACATGAAGCCTCAGAATCCTTGCCTCCAAGGAACAGCCCGGTTTAACCCTCTTCAGGGTGAATCTATTTATTTTCTTGGCAGTCCATGGTACCCTCAATACTCCTCTCCGGCACCACAGCTCAAAGGCATCAATTCTCCTTATATCCTCCCTAGTCACTGTCCAACTCTCCGGTGCATAAAAAGTGATTGCAAAGACTAAGGGCTATATCAGACGCATCTTAATCTCCAGAGAGACACCACCGCTCTTCAGTACTTTAGAGAGGTCCCTAACAGCAGACTTTCCCATAGCAATACATCTTTTAATTTCCTGGATGCTGGTGCCAAGAGTGCTGACTGTGGAGCCAAGCAAAATAAGCTGTGAACAATCTCAATCTCTTCACCATCCATCCTGATGCTGCCAATTGGTCCAGTGGTGAGAATCTTTGTCTTTTTGACATTGAGCCTCAGTCCATATTGGAGGCTGCAGTCCTTGAACCTCTGCAGCAAGAGCTTCAGGTCCTCCTCACTTTCAGCAAGCAGGGTATGTCATCTGCAGAACACAGACTGTTGATAGATCTTCTACCAATCCTGATGCCACATTTCTCCTCATAGAGCCCAGCCTCCAAGATGATCTGTTCTGCATACAGGTTGGTGTACGCCCGTCCTAATTTTGAACCATGCAGTGTTTCCTTGCTCTGTTCTGACAACTGCCTCTTGGTTCAAGTATAGGTTTCACAATAGCACAAGCAAGTGTTCTGGGATTCCCATTCTTCTCAGAGTCAGGCACAGTTTGTTATAATCCACACAGTCAAACGCTTTTGCATAATCAATGAAGCACAGATAAACATTCCTCTGGTACTCCCTGCTTTCAGCCAAGATCCATCTAACATTAGCTACAAGATCCCTAGTACCACGACCCCGTCTAAACCCAGCCTTGACTTGCGACAGTTCTCTGCTGATGTGCTGTTCCAGTCGTTTTTGGATAATCTTCAGCAGAATCTTGCTTGCATGTGAAATCAATGATACTGTTCTGTAGTTTCCACACTCTGTTGGGTCGCCCTTCTTTGGAATGGGAACTAATATAGATCTCTTCCAGTCAGTTGGCCAAGTGGTTGTTCTCCAGCTTTCTTGACACAACTTGGTGAGCATATCCAGGGCAGCATCTGTTGGCTGAAATATGTCAATTGATATACCATCTATTTCTGGGGCCTTATTTTTTGCTATTTCCTTCAAAGCAGCTTGAACTTCTTCCTTCATCATCATAGGCTCTTGTTAATATGTTGTTTCATGAAATTCTTCTGTGTCTGTCAATTCCTTTCTATAGAGTGATTCAGTATATTTTCTCCATCTTCTTTTAATACTTCCTGGATCATTTAATATTCTGCCTAAAGCATCTTTGATTATAGCAACTTGAGGTTTGAATTTGTTCTTCAGTTCCCTGAGCTTAAGAAATGCTGAGTGAGTTCGGCCCTTTTGATTTTCTGACTCCAGTTCCTTGCTCATTTCATTGTAATATTTTACTTTGTCATCCCATGTTGTCTTTTGAAATCTTCTGTTCAGCTCTTTAGTATCTTGAATTCTTCCGGGTGCTTTGGCTTCTCTGCACTCCAGTGCAATATTCAGAGTTTCTTCTAACATCCATTTTGGTCTTTTCTTCCCCCTCTGTCTTTTTCCACTCCATATCCTCCCACAACTCATCTGGTCTTCGCTCATTCGTGTTCAAGGCCTCAAGCCTGTTCCTGAGATGGTTCTGAAATTCAGGTGGGATAGACTCAAAGTTTTATTTCTGTTCCTGTGGATTCGGTTCAATTTTCCTCAGCTTCAGCTTGAACTTGCATATGAGTAGTTGGTGGTCTATTCCACTATCAGCACATGGCCTAGTTTTCACAGCTGATATTGAGTTTTTCCAGCGGTTCTTTCTTCAGATGTAATCAATCTGATTCCTATGCATACTACCAGAAATAAACATTAGAAAGAGATAAAAGAGTCTCCTAAGTTTTAATGGGACAATCCTATTCAAACATCCAACAACCATGCTGAAGAAAGAGTAATTTGGAAAGACATAAATAATGAAAAAATTACTCTAAAGTATTAAAACCTAATTAACAATATATGCCTGCTGAAGCTGCACAGTATAATGCAATTTACTCTAAAATAAAGAAAAAAGGATGAATTGATAAATAGATGGAAAGATAAAGCAATGGAGCAAAATGTTATCTACAGGTTCTAGATGGTGAATACTAACCATGTAGATATTTACTGTGCAAGTTTTTCAACATTTCTGTATATATTATAGTATTCATTATAAAAAGGTGAAACAATACTTTTTTAAAAAACAGGGAAGATGCAGAAACCTTACCCAAATACAGTCACCCAAGTGTCATCGAGGTGATCTTCTGATGTCAGAGAATCTCCCTGAGTATAAAAAGGATCCAACTGGGCAGGAGATAATGTAGTCTTTCGAGGTTGGCCAATATTTGCTGGACTAAACATACTTTGTCCTGTATTTGTATATTTATTAAGTTAGTTACCAAAATACATGCAACTTTGGTTTATATTATAGCTCTTAGATTTTATATTAAAAAGTACACAAAATATGGAAATTACATAATCTAAAATGCACAATGGTCACTAGAATTATTTATACTAATCAATGGCAATGTTATTAAAAAAATGAGTGACTGAAAAAAACGATTCGTAAACCTTGACTCAAATAAATAAAATGCACAACTGTGATCAAGTAATAATTTCACACTATCACAGCCATCATTAATAAATGGACATAGTTTATAAGTTAAAAAAATGTGTTTATTACTTTATTAAAACCAGATACCCTCCATAAAATGGTTCCAAAAGTGTTTTTCCAATATCCTCTATAAAGTACTTACACAGACCCTCAGAAGTTGTTATGGTTTCCCTTTATTCAATTTGCTTCTATCTAAAAATGTATGCTCTTGTTCTTTTTTTCTCCTTCAAGAACTATGCTCAGTTAATGAGCACTTGTTATGTATCCACCATGCGATGTAAATGTTTTAAACATTCACTTTTCTTCAAAGGCACTCCTCTATTGGCACTACATTTTTTCAAGAAGATTGACTATTTTTCTTTCATTTTTGCAGCAACAATAAAGGGTCACTCACTCAAGAAATACTTTTTTTAGCACTTAAAATATGATCTATGCTCAATACAGTCTTAATATATACTGTCTTGCCATCCCTCAACTAAGGAATTCCCACTTAGTTCAAAACTCATTCCAAGTAATTTCAAACTGTTTATAGTCAAATGAATGTCTCCAAGTTAGTGTATTAGATACAATCTTCTTTACAGCGAGGGATCTGTCATCCAAATAGAGAAAGACAGCACTCCATGGTTTAAAATAAGAATGATGTTGTCAGGGCTGAAACCTTTTGCCAAACCTATTTAATCTATGCTGAGAAGTTAGAAGAAGTTATGGAGAATAATGCGGCATCATGATCAGAGGAAGACTTATCAACAGCCTGCGATATGAAGATGACACAATCTTGTTTGCTGAAATTGAAAAAGGACCTGAAATGCCTGCTGCAGAACAACAAATAATACAGCCTTCAATATGTATTCTACCTCAACATCAAGAAAACAAAAATCCTCACCACCGGGCCAAGAGGCAACATCATGAAAAAGAAAGTTGGTACCAGCAGTCAAGAACTCAAAAGAGGTGTGGCATTTGGAAAATTTGTCAAGGACTACTCCAAAGTCCTAAAAAGTAACAACATCAGTTTAAAGACTAGGGTGCATCTGATTCGAGTCATGGTCTTTTCAATTACTTCCTATGCATGTAAAAGCTGGACAATGAATAAAAATGACAGACGAACTGATACCTTTGAGTTGATGGATAAAAGAGTACTGAATGTCCCACAGACTGCCAAAAGACCAACCTTGGACACAATATTGATGAAGCCTCACCTCATCATAAACTTTGGGCAAGCTATTAGGAGGGGCCAGTCTTTGGAAAAGGACATCATGCTTGGAAAGGTAGAGGGTCAGCGAAAGAGAGGAAGACCCTCAACAAAGATGGACTGACAGTGACTGCAACAATGGGCTCACCTGTTGCATAAGAGAGATGAAGAGGATGGCACAGGATAGGGTAGGGTTCAGATTGACTGTTCAGAGTTGGCGAGCACGTAACTGCAGCAGCAGTGAGAGATGCTTCCCATCATCCTTACGGGAAATTTGTAATATAATTAGCACTTAAAGTCTGTCAGAAATTAATCAATAAGAAATACTTTAAACTTCATTTTACCTAAAAATTTCCTATACTTACTTAATCTCTTTGCCCTGTAAATACAGATATTTTAATTAAATGCTATGTCTCAATCTTTCTGTATGATTAATAAATGCCTGACTAACAGCAAGAATTGCTGGAACCTAATCTAGTAGGAAATGAATAATAAAGCCATTTATTTCAACTCAAAGCTAAGATGCAAAAAATGTTACCTACCGAGTTTTAATTTCATATTCATGAATATAAAATTATTTCATTTTCTGTCATACAAAGAAAGGCCTTCTTAATAAACAAGTTATACACATTAACAAGACACTGTGTGAACTCACCACAAAATCCAGCCTAAATGGTTCCCTAAAAATTATTTAAGAAACGTATTTGTTGTAGTTTCTTGATTTCTAACTGCTACTGAATTATAAAGAATAATGAAAATAAAAAATATATAAGAAGGGAAAAGTAGTCTATCTTGCTTTTAGGTAGACAATGCATAATTATGTTAGGAGTTCAAAAACATGCAGCATAACAGCAGTGCTAACGCTAGGCCAATCACTTAGCTTGGTAAAGAGCATCAGATAGTGGGAAGTTGGGCAGCTTTTGCAGTCAGTTCCCATTACAATTCTGTCAGAACTAGAACAAGTAGTTGAACCTCACTGCTCAGATATGACAAAAGAAAAAAAGAGGAGGCCAATAATGATGATCATGATCACTCATTCACTTACTGTTGTCAAAATGCAACTGACACCTGAGCTGCTTGAAAGAGGAAATAAATACTATCTGTAATATAAATAGTATTTATAAGTCTATTATAAAATATAACCACTCTCATAGCCACTGAGAACTGACTCATGGTTAACTTCACAGCGAATTTTCAGAGACTGTAAAATCGCACAGGAGATTGCCCATCTTTCTCCCAATGAGCACCTTATGAACTTGAGCCACCTACCTTTGGGTTGACAGTGCGTCTCCTTATCCACTATGCCACCAGCTTCCTGATTATCACGATAACTAGTCTGTTATGTGCCTGTGACCCATAGTGACTCTATGTACAGCAGCTCTGAACCCTGCCCTGTCCTGAGCCAGTCTAACTAAATCCGACACACCTATCCCATTGCCCAAGTTACTTTTATCAATCCGTCTCCTCTAGGGTCTTCCTCTCCTGCACTGTCTGTCCACCTTCCAAGCACGATGTCCTCCAAGGAGCAGTCTCTCCTGGCCACATGCCCAAAGTATGTGAGCTTCAAATTCCTAGCCTCCAAGGAGAAACTTGGTTTCACCTTCTCCAAGATAGATCTATTTGTTTTCTTGACAGCCCATGGTATGGTCAAGACTCCTCCAACACAATTTGAAGGCATTGATTCTTCTTCTGTCATCCTTAGTGTTTCTCTGCTCTGTTCTGAGAACTGTTTCCTGGTCCAAGTATAAGTTTTGCATAAACACAATTAAGTGTTCTGTGATTTCCATTTTCCTCAAGGTTAGTCACAATTTATTCTGATCCATACAGACAAAGGCCTTTGCAAGGTCAATGAAACAGACAAGACATTCTTCTGGTCCTTTGATTTCTGCCAAGATCCATCTCTAGCACCACGACCTCTTCTAAATCCAGCTTGTATTTCTGGTAGTTCTCTGTCAATGTACTGGTCCAGTCATTCTGGATAATTTTCAGCAGGATTTTGCTAGTGAGTGGTATTGTTCTATCACCTTGTTTTGGAATGGGAATAAATATGGATCTCTTTCAGTCACTTGGCCAAGTAGTTGTCCTCCAGATTTCTTGGCGCAACTTGGTAAGCACATCCAGGGTACCACCTGTTTGTTGAAATCTATCAATTGGCATTTCATCAATTTCTGGGGCTTTATTTTTTGCTAAATCCTTCAGAGCAGCCTGCACTTCCTCCTTTAACATCACTGCTTCTTGATCATATGTTTTTCTTGAAAATTCTTCTGTGTCAGCCACATCTTTTTGGTACAATGACTCTGTAGACTCCTTCCATCTGCTTTTAATACATCCTGAATCATTCTGCCCATAGCATCCGTAAGCACTGCAATTCTTGGCTTAAACTTGTTCTTTATTTCCTTCTGCTTAAGAAATGCTGAGCAAATTTCACCCTTTTGATTTTCTGACACCAGCTCCTTGCACATTTCAATATGATATTTTCTTTGTCTTTCCAAAATGCCCTTTAAAAATCTTCTTTTCAGCTCTTTGAGTTCTTCTCTTTGCTTTGGCTTCTCAGCGCTCTAGTAAAATATTGAGTCTCTTCTGACATCCATTTTGGTCTTTTCTTCTTCTTCCTTCTTTGTAATGACTCTTTTGCATTCTTCATGAACAATATTCTTGATATCTTCTCACAGTTCATCTCGTCTTCATTCATTAGTGTTCAAGACCTCAAACCTATTCCTGAGTTGTTTTTTAAATCGCGGAGAATAGACTCAAGATAAAATTTTTATTTCAGTGGACATAATTTAACCTTCTTTAGCTTTAATATGAACTTGCTATGCCTTATGAAATTCTGGGGGATTTTTCATATGTAAAACATAAGGAGCTCTGGCGGCTAAGCTTGGCAAACTAAAAGACATGACTCTTGCAATTCTAATTCACCAGTAGCAGTAAGGTAGGAAAATGAGCAGTGAACTCTAATTAAGATTTACAGTTTTAGAAACCCAATGAAGGGCTGCTATAAGTCAAATGGTTACTATCTAAGAATTGTATTCAACTCAATGGCAGTTAAGTTTTTCAGTTTAATATAAATGGTTATTCCAGACACTTTGCATATATTCGTATTTAATCAATGCTAAATGCAACTTCATGAAGTAAAAATTACTACCTCCACTTTATTTAGGAAAGACAGACAACCAGTGCACACAACCTAAGCTTGACTATGAGGAATATGTTGATAAAGATCAAAGAAGATATAACTTTAAAAAAAAAAAAGATATGATGATATACCTAAAAGAATCATAAACCTCTTAAGTGTGTGGAATAGATCTAGGATTGCTTTGTATGTCTTATAGATGCACTTGACTTTTATTACTTTATCTTTTTATTATTATTGCAATTCATTTAAAGAGCTTTGGGGCTTTTAAATCGGAGTTTAATGCTTAATAAAAATAAAACTAATACTATAGGGTAAATAATTTAAAAACACTCCTAACTATAAATAGGCTACCTTTTTTTTTTTTTTAATTTTTTTGCACTTCACCACATCTATTTAATCATTGTTAGCTGATTGCACCTCAAGTTAATGT